TGGATGTGCTGCTTGGTCAGCCTCTGAACCATGTGAACTCTGGCTTCCTCACCTGAATGTCTTGCCTTGTCTTTCTTTGTAGGGTGGGGTAAGAAGTGTCAGGACCTGCCGCCCCTATGTGAATGACATAGGGGCCACCCTGCCTCCTTTAGAGAGCAGGTTCCAGGCTGTCCCGTCCCCTGTTGTTTTCTTAGTCCAACCACAGCAGGCTTCTGCTGACTGGTCCCTGCAGTTCCATTTCTTGTGTTTCTCTTAGCGCCAACATTGCCGTGCTAGTTCATGGATGTGACTTGAACCATTTCTGCATTAGTGTCCCTGTCGGCGCGGTGTCTTGTGGCCGGGCTTTCCTCCCCGTCTTACTCATTAACCTTTTTGTGTGCTCTGAGCAGTCACAATCCAGTCTGAGTGCAACCTGCCCTCACTTCCTTGTCCCCGTGTCTCTCATATGGCCTAGCACTCTAATCTCTCTACGTTTCCCTTGGATTTTATTTTTTATTATTTTGGGGCAGCATGTGGGATCTTAGTTCCCTTACCAGGGATCAACCTGGGGTTCTCTGCATTTGGAGTGCAGATTTATAACCACTGGACAGCCAGGGAAGTCACTCTTTTGGATTTTAGATCCCTGTGACATGTCCCAGTGCTCCTGCTTTGATGCAGTTGTGTCATTATCAGGGAAAATGTGAAAGGTCATATGTTTAGCTCTATTTCTTGACTAGTCATCAATCAACAGATAGTTATTTTCTACTTATGGTCTTGCCCGATGCTTTACTAAGCATGTCAGGGTAATACAAATGAGTATTACAACCCTTTTCCAAATGGTACTGATAATCTGACTAGAGAGAATTACTTCACATAAAATAAGAACATCATTTTTTTCTACTAAATATGTGGGGCTCTTGAGGGCAGGGGCCCTGTTTACATTCATGCTTGAATTCTTGTGTTTGTAGGTATTTAAAAAATGGTATGTGGAGAAATGGATGGAAGGACAGGTGTTCAGTTCCTGTTGAGTTAGGGAGTTTACCCAGTGTATTTCTCATTTTAACTTCCACAACCAAAGGTTTATGTACTATTGCTGACATTCCACACCTCTCTGTGCCCCAACTTCCCTTCCTGGGAAACTGAGACCATAACAGGTTGTCTTGCCCAAGGTCTCACAGCTATGAGGTGGTAGGGGCAGGATGAATATATGGTAGGATGGTAAGTGACAGTTCTAAGGAAGAGAAGTTTGTGTTTACTGCCAGTGTCTAGCCCCTAGCCAAAAAGGACATCTCCTTTCCTGTTCAGCCTCTTGGCCCTCCAGGCCTCTGGAGAGATCTTCTCTGTCCAGTAACCTGTCATTCCCTTCTTTCCACGGTGTAGGTTGGCTATCAAGCAGGGAGCAATGGCCAGCCCCTTCCCTCGCAGTACATGAACGATCTGGACAGCGCTCTGGTGCCGGTGATCCATGGAGGGGCCTGCCAGCTCAGCGAGGGCCCCATCGTCATGGAACTCATCTTTTATATTCTGGAAAACATCGCGTAGACAGAGAGGACTTCACTGTTTTCTGTTCAGACCTGTTGCAACAGCAGTCATACCCAAATCATTTGCACTTTAGAACTGGAAAATTAAGCTTTTGTTAACACTATTAATGGGGGGTGGGGTGGGAGTGGGGGTTTGGGGGACAGGGGTGGGAAGGGGTGGTGGAGGGACAGATGTTCCATAATTCTAAGTCTTCTATGCATTGTCCACCAAGAAGATCTGGGCAGCTTCTGTTACTGCACAACAGTATCCTTGCAGCTAATCCCCTTCTGTTAATGTTTAGACAAGAATTCTGCTCCTCTGTTTTAAGACTTACTTTTGGTCTTGTGCTCAGAAATGCTCAAATGGGTACAGCCATCACCAAGGGTGGGTGGGAGGGCAGAAGGGAAATAAAAAAATGAAGCATCAGTCTTGAACTCTCTATACAGAATTGATGTAAAATGGACAGTTTCACACTGATCTTGTCCCAGATACATTACAGCGACCTCACAAAGTCACATTTAGGTATTTTTTCCCCTAGATTATTCATGAAGTGAATCAAAGAACCAAAGGATTATCTCTCTTCTATCCAAAGAAGGGCGACTCAGTATAAATGAGGTCACTTGAATAGTAAAGCCAAGTTCAGGTTCTTTCAAGACCTGCCAGACTGAATGACAGACACTGAACTGGACCTTTCTGTGAAAGCTGATAGATTATACCCAAGATGTTTCTAGTTATAATATACACTAGAAGCATTTTATTTATTTTTGGCGTCACCACATGGCTTACAGGATCTTAAGTTTCCTGACCAGGAATTGAATCCTGTGGCTCTGGCAGTGCAAGTGCCAGGTCCTTCCTAACCACTGGACCACCAGGGAGCTCTCTACATTGAAGGTATTGTTAAAAATATTTTATTGAGAAATAATTTAAACTTCCAGGAAAGTGGCAAGTTAAAAAAACAATCTATGTATGCCTTACCCAGATTCACCTTAACTTGTTTGCTTTATCAGTGTTCCTTTCTCTCCTTTTCTATCCATAAAAAACTGAGGCATTGAGAAGTACATACATTGCATACATCAAAGTCCTTCACCCCTAAGTACGTTAATGCTTACTTCCTACAAATAAGGGTGTCCTCTCACATCACTGCAGGACAGGCTCCACTTCAGTTTGACACTTTAACCCAGCGTCCTTCCCATCCAGTGAAGCTTCCAGCCTAGATCAGAACATGGTAAGTTTCTGTCATGACTCACTTTTATTTTTTATGTCATTGATATTTTTGCTGAATATAGGTTCTTCCAACTCATTTAACAGAAAATGCCCCATTTTTAATTTGGTTGTTATTTCCTCAGAATTAGATGAATTATGCATTCTTGGCCAGAATCCTACCCAAGTGATGGTGTGTCCTTCTTGGGACATCACATCATGGGTCACTTAGATGTATGTCCTTCTGCCCCTCATTGATGATAAATTTTTACCCGGTCAAGGTGTTGTCTGGTTTCTCCACTGGGTATTTCCCCTCTTAGAACAAATAACTGGTTTGTGTAGACACTCTGTGATCATGTGGAGATCTTACTCATTGAAATGTCCCCTTAGATTTAGCACTCTGATGTTTCTTGCCTGAGTTGATCTTTTACTATGATGGCTTCAAGATTTTTCAATTCCAGCACTTCCTGTTTATCAGTTGCACTTGATTTACCTACAAGCAAACACCCTTCTTTATATATATATACACATATATATATATATATATACACATATATACATACACACACACATATATATATATATATTTTGCTGGTAAAGAATCCTCCTGCAATGTAGGAGACCTGGGTTTGATCCCTGGGTTGGGAAGATCCCCTGGAGAAGGAAATGCTACCCACTCCAGTATTCTTGTGTGGAGAATTCCATGGACTTCAGTCCATGGGGTTGCAAAGAGTCAGACATGACTGAGCGACTCTCACTTCACTTTCACTTTAATGCCCATCGTGTGTGTGTATGTGCGTGTGCGCGTGTGCGGTGTGTGTGTGCGCGCGCACGGTGTGTGTGCATGCGGGGTGTGTGGCTGGGGGAGTGCTGCACTACACAGTATGTGGGATCTTAGTTCCCCAACCAGGGATTGAAATCACATCTCCTACATTGGAAGTATGGAGTCTTAACCGTTGGACTGCCAAGAAAGTTCCCAAAGCCCTTCTTTCTTATTTACTCATTTAATTAACTTTCATTCTGGACTTGGGATTACTCTTTGAATGGTTCTAATTCATTATTTAGGTGAGCTCCCACATCCTTGTGACATGCTCCTGTTTCTTAACACTTCCTTTTCTGGCCTAACAAGATGCCCCAGTGCCATCTTGTGCTTACCCTGCCCCAGCCTTGGAATCAGTTGGGTGTTTTTTTAGTAGAAGTGGTATTAGAAGGCAAGACTCAGTTTTACCTGTGACATATGTGATGCATGCTGATCATTTTCTCCTTAATGAAAAATTTATTTTAGTCAGACCAAATAGATTTCACAACCCACGGTTTGAAAAACACTGCTCTAGGGCAGCTCACTTCCTCGTCACTGGCATCTAAAACCCCAGACCAAGTAGGAGGCTGGTCCCTCTGCAGTGAAAGGACAGTTCCAAAAATCCCCTAGAAGGTAGTGCAGGCCCAAGACAGCGAGAGGCTGCTCCCCGGCGGCTGGAGCTAGGCCTAGTACTTGGCATTACAGGCTGTGGAGCTCCCTTCAAGTTAGTAGCTGTTTTCTGAGGCCCAAAGGTATCTGTTGTTTTTGTTTAGTCACTCAGGTCTGTCCGACTCTCGTGACCCCATAGACTGACTCCTCTATCCATGGGATTCTCCAGGCCAGAATACTGGAGGAGTGCCATGCCCCCCTCCAGGGAATCTTCCTGATCCAGGGATTGAACTGCGTTGGGTTCTTCACTGCTGAGCCCCTGGGGAAGCCCAGGGTTTATCCCTCTTCTGTTGGGCCGGAGGGGAGAATCCACATCTACACCTGCTGCTTCATGGGCTTCGCTGACCGTGGCTGCAGAGGGCTGGGGCTGTAACCTTTCCCATAGGCTGGGAGCTTCCAGCGGAGACGGGTGCCCACTGAACACCAGCTTGTGAGGACAACGCCCTGGGCTGTCACCCCCTAAACCTGACGGGCACAGGATGCACTTGTTAACAGGGGTAGTAGGAACTTGGGGTCCAACATCCAGCTTGGTCTACATTGGAGCTTCTACAGGAGCTGGCTCTCTTGGTTCTGTCCTATAGGAGTTACCTTTCTTCCTTCTCAGCTGAACAGACCTTGCAGTTGTACACGTTTCTTACAGATCAGTGCAAACCTTTCGAAGAACAGACTCTGTCCTTGCAGAGTCGGGTCCATTCTCAACTGCATAAAATGTCCTTTATATTTAATGAAATCATCTTGTGGAACTGGACATAAGATAGCCAAGGCTAGTTTACTGTTTTCCCTTGTTTCACTTTTGTTTTTATATACTGTATGCTGTATAGAACTGGAAACATCATGTTTCTAAATAAATAAGGCAGATTCTTCTATAATGTAAACTCAGATTGAGATATAGAGATCCTATAATGAGGAATAGAACTGCCATTCTGGTATTACATTTAAAAAAAATTACCAAAATCTCACCAAATGCTAGGCAGTGTAGTTTCTCCAGTTTTTTAAAATCAACATGTATCTGAGCACCTACTGGACTCTTGTTGGTCAGTTGCTCAGTCCTGTCTGACTCTGCAATGCCATGAACTGCAGCATGCCAAGCTCCCTTGTCCTCCAGTATCTCCTGGAATTTGCTCAAATTCATGTCCGTTGAGTCAGTGACACTGTTAAACTATCTGCTCCTATCACCACCTTCTCCTCCTGCCCTCAATCTTTCCCAGCATTGGGGTCTTTTCCAATGAGTTGGCTCTTCACATCAGGTGGCCAAAGTATTGGAGCTTCAGCTTTGGCATCAGTCCTTCCAGTAAATATTCAAAGTTTATTTCCTTTATGATTGACTGGTTTCTAGGGCTGTAGATAAATTGAACTTTGCCCTGTTTTAAGTTCCCATCTAGTGTCTTCCCTCACCTACACTGGTTCCTGAATGCTGGTAAGCCCAGAATTTCCAACTAAATTTTCCTCTATCATAACTAGTCACCTGGGGAATAATCTATGCATTTAATGCACTTCAGACAATAAGAAATCTGCTGAACACCGTTTCTAGAAAAAGTCTGTGATAGTTGTTTGTTTTAATAATATATGCTGAAATAATTTTAGTAATGATGGTAACGGGACTTGGAGGACTATAATGTAGCCAGAAGGGAGAAGGAGCATAAGAGGAATGAGAATGTCCATTTTAGAGTTTGGGAAGCTGAGGCTGAGAAGGGAAGAATCCATCTGTGATGGAACTGAACCAGGTGCAAGCTTCCTGGCGTTGCCTTCTGCCAGTCTCAGCCCCAGAGTTTCATCTTCAAAGCAGCTGCCTTAACTTAAGGGATAAATGAGTGTTTAAAAACTGCCCACAAATATTTGGAAAACAAGCACTCAGAAACTGGGAAGCAACAATGTAGGTTTCAGAATAGAACCGTGAGAAAGGAACGTAATAAAATGCAAACTAGTCTGCCCTTTAATTGTAAGCAAGACTTCTTGATTCTAAGATAAATTCCTTCCATATTGTATTCAGAAGAAAGTATGTCCTATACAATTGAAAAGAAATTTTAAAATTTAAAAATTATTTGGGTCGTGGCTGGTTCCCAAGTGCCCACAAGTCACTAATCTGCACTGCTGAATTGCTGTATTTGGATAAATCTTAGCACAAGATGAGGCTGGGCAGGCTCCTCCCATGCCAGTGACCCCTGCATGCCTGGGCTACAACAAAGGCCTTTTAAGAACCTTAGTTTCTAAGTCCAGTAGGCGGCTTTGCCTTGCCTCTCTCAGCCTGGAGGTTCTGGTTTTCAAAAAGCAAAGGGCAGTAAAGCAGAATGAAATTGAACTGGTTATGATGGGAAATCGTTGAACCACAGAAAAAAACTTGCTATCCGATTTCTAGCAGAGGACTGAGTTTAGACATTCCTAGTACTAGTCGGAAACGTCAAGCCTTCTTAGCACTTACAAACCCTAAGGGAAGACTAGGTTGAGTCAGGAACCCTCTTCTGGTTCCCGCTCTGCTCTGGGCCACCTTATGAGGGCTGACAGCCCTCCTTTTCATTCTAGATGGTTGCTTGTATGACACACAGATACGACTGCATTTAAGTGTTAAGTCTCACATCTATGGAATTTTTAGTAAGTTAAGATTAGCCTTCTAGCTAGACTAGCTTTCTAGCTCTCAGAAGTTATCTGTTGTCCCTGTTGTTACACTATAAGCTCTGCTCTTAAGGGCAGGGAAGTGTGGTCCAGCTGCATCCCAGAAAAAGACGCACACACAAAAGCTCAATCCCAAACTTCTGTGTTTGCAGGACTACAATCATCAGTAAGTTGAATGTATCTGCTTCATGTAGAGCCTTAAACTATTATCTTCAGGAATGCTTTGTTAAACTGTGTTTCAAAGAAAGGGGGGAAAAGATGGGGTGTTAAAGTTTATTTTTAAGAGATGTAGACTACTGCAGTTTTGAACATTAAGTCTACTGCAAATATTGATGTAAATCCCTCCATGATCTGCATCTATTCACAAAAATAAATCCAAAGAATTTCTTAGGAAGAAATTTAGGGATTTCCCTAGGTGATTAGATGAAGAGCAAGGCTTCTCCTGACCTGTCTCTGAAGAGGAAGCCATAACTGCAGTTTCTGTCAATTAACAAATGTTACTGCCACTCTGGCTTTTAAAAAGTGATGGGGTGGGGGTGGTGGGGGGCAGTGACAGGGAAGAGCAGGGCTTTTGTTTAAGACTTTGATGGTTATTTTGTGAGACCGTAAATCCCCAACAATGAATTAGACCTAGTTTCTTAAATAAAATCAGTTACATTCTACATATTTATATAAATTTTTTTTCTTTCTTCCTCAGTTAACAGTATCAGTCTCAGGTACATGGACCTAACTCAAGATAACCTGCTCTCACTTCCCACCACACAGTCCTGAACAAAATCCCACTGAGAGCGTTGGGAAGCAGGGAGGCTACGGCAGCAGCTGTCAGGAGACAAGGCACAGGCGGGGCTGGGGTCAACTGAGTTGCGGGGGACAGGCGGCTGCTGACCAACTGGAGTCACAGAACCCTGCCCTGCCCTATGGGGAGGGGGGTCCGGATCACACTCGCGCTTTCCCATCCCTTACAATTTTATCTTTTAAAGGCACGTCTAGAAATGGTGCAAATGGGGGCTGGGGCAGGTTGCAAACAGTTGATTCACAGGGGTTAAGGGGTTGGTTACAAGGCTCCATGGCAGAGCAGTGAGGCTGTCCTTGCCCTGCCCGGACAGAGAGGGAGGGGGAAACCCTGGAATCCAGCCTGTTTTGGTGGAGGCCTGGGGAGAGGCCAGCAACGGGAAAGACCAGAGCCGTGGTCAGTAATGCACGTGCTTAACAGGTCTTTGGTACTTGTTTAGCAGCATCTCCTTTATGTACAAAGACTTCTGTAGCCAGCAAAGCCCAGGGGAAAAAGCTGGAGAAGAGTCGCCGGCCTGACTCCACTCTAGCGTTGACCCTCTGTTGCACACGGGCACAGAGCACACAGAAGTCTAAACTGCATGAGTATCCAAGTAGGTTTCAGGAAGGGTTTCCTGACAACAACCTGGGAGAGTTAGCTTCCTTCCCCAGTTCTACTGAATATCGTGAACCAGCCTGAGCCCAACCCAACAGTTTTGCCTCTTGGTCTTCCTCACAGATGAGAAATTCTTCGGTTTTCTCCTTAGATATGAGCTGAGTACCGGAAGGGTTCCCATGGGGCCCAGGCAGACGTTCCAAGGGCCCAGAGAGCTGCCCACCTCACAGGCCCCTGGGTTCCAGGACCAGCCAGTTCTCGGTGACCATCTGCACGTCTTGGCCACTCAGAGGCTCCCGCAGCCTCACCTTCACCTCCAGCTTACCCCCAGTGGGCTTCCTTCCATCCAGGACCTGTGAGGACCGCAGAGAGGGAGATGGTAACTGAGAGGTGGGGCGGGGACCGGCAGCTCCCTGTGTCACAAGGTGAGAGAGGAGCTAAAGTATCCTGCATGTCAGAAGAAGAGTCTCCATTTCCGGACAACCCCAACCTCCCACTGTTTGGGTTCGGTAGTTTTAAGTACGTCTCAGAAAATACATCAATCCAAATAAGCGCCAGTGCTCTGAAGTGGAGGTGGGAAGTCTAGAGCCATGCTTCCTCAGTTTGCCCCACAGTCCCCACGGTAACTCCTAGAAGAAATGCTCTGGCTTTAAGGCACAGCCTGAAAACCACTGAGCCCAAACCCTCGGTTCACAGATGGCATGAGGGACACAGTCACACTGTTCACTGTGCAACAGGGTCAGGATATGCCTGCCTTTTCGCCCACCGTGTGCTTCCTCCTGTGCCGGACACGAGGCAGCTGGCTCTAAAGTCTGACCCACCTCACTGGGGCTGATACAAAGCAGGGCTACAGGCTCTGAAGTCTGACCCACCTCACCAGGGCTGACACAAAGCAGGGCTACAGGCTCTGAAGTCTGACCCACCTCACTGGGGCTGACACAAAGCAGGCCCCCCTTAAGAACAACTCTCCCAAGCAGGCAGAGGCAATGTAGCAGGAAAAGCCTCCGTCTGTGAAGGCACCAGCCGAGGTCTGGGCCCGGCTCTGCCAGAGCCCCTTCTCTGTGGATCTCAGTTGCTGTCATCAGGGCACATCCCTGTGAAATTCAGTGAGTTCAGGGCAGCTTAAGGAGTTGTCTGGGGTGATTCCTAAGCAGACTAGCTGTGTTCTGGTAGGTCCCTCCTTGGAAATACCTTATGAACTTTATGTCCAGAGTTTGTCCTACTTCATCGTGTTGCCACAACTGCCTCAATCAAAGCCTGCTCCCAGATACCTAGGAATTCATGGGTGCCACATGGACAGCCATGATCAGGCCCCTCAAGGGAACATGAACAGCTGAGTGTCATGGAAAGAGTATAGCTACTTCCTTTCTGACACAATGAAATTTTCTCAGACGCTCTGTATTTCATCATTTGTGAAATGGGAATAGCACATACTCTACAGCACACTTATGGATATTTTTAAATTAACAAGCACCAAAAAACCTACAACAGGGATTCAGTGAATGTTGGCCCTTTTCTGGCCATGTCCTCCAGTTTTCCCACCTTACCTCCACAATCTCTCTGATTTCACACTCATTCTCCAGCCGCTCCAGTTTCAGGTGGGCTGTGCCAACCAGCTTGTCACTTCTGAAGAAGGATCTGGAAAGCCAAGAATCAGCAGAGGACTGGACTGGGCAAGGACAGCAGAAATGAGCTGGCTAAAACCAGCACAAGAAAACTGAATAGTAGCAGGGGCAGCGGCAGCAACAGAAGCCAATCCTTCCTCCCAGCCCACCTTGGCAGTGTGACCGATGGGCCCTCACCCTTTGTGGAAGATTTCAAACTTGATTCCTTTGTTTTGAATCACTCTCCTGAAGCCCCGGTGGTTTCGGTTGATATTTAGTTTGAAGAGTTGATCAAATTCTGCAAGAGGGGGAGAAGGAGGGACTTGGCTTGCAGGGATCTCCTGACCAAGTGGAAACTGGCCCACTTGCCTCCACTGTCTTTCTGCCTGCAATTCAGAGTGGCTGCCACCAGAGGGAGGAAGAGCATCCAAATCCTGGCTTTGAAGTTCACCTGGGCGGTTCTTGTTAGACGCAGATCGGCAAAATGGGAATGGCCTGGAATGTGGAGTCAGGATTCCTGGACTCAAGTCCCATTTCCACCACCTCCGCTTTAAGGCCCTATGCAAATCCCTTTTCCTCTCTGAGCTTCAGCTTCCCCAACTACATTCGAGACGTGGTAGTCATACCTGCCTTTATCTCCCAAGGTAAGCAGACCAAGTAAGATAATAGATCTGAAAGTACTCTGGAAACACAAGTGCTGCAGAGGTTATCAGAGGGTGAGGGGGAGGAGGAAGCAGCCCGCGTGTAGGTCCTCACCTGGAGAGTTTGTGTTTTTCACCACAGCTGTTTTGTTTTTTTGAGCCTGGTCCTAAAGCAGTGAGAAGAGAGAAGTCAGGACAGCTTGGAAAAAAACATACAGGTACAGGAGCTCTGGTCTACATCAGTGCTGAGGGAAGGGACCCCGAGAGGGAATGAGACTGAGGGATGGGGAGAAAAAGAGCACAGGGCCTTGGAAGGGAAGATGGAGTTCACAGGACCCTCCTGCTTATTGGAACCTCACCGAATTAGGGTAGTGGAACTCAAACCGCACAAAAGCATCCAAGTCGTCAGGGGTCACCCCTAGGAAGAAGGAGGACGAGTCAGGGTCACAGGCAGTAGCCAGGAGCCCCAGCACTTGACGCAGAGGGAGAGCCACTGCCTCCTCCTGGCCAGGCTGGAGCATCTGGACAGGAGTAGGGGTGGCCCCAGGGCTACCTGGAGGGGCTGGGAGGTTCATTCCCCGGACAACAATCAGATGCATTTCTGTGCTGTTGAGTTCTGCAAAGATCCTAGAGCCAGGAAGCAAGGAAAGCAAAGTGAAGGAGAGCAGTGGGAAAAGGTTCTCTTTTCCAATGCCTGCCTATCTAGCTGGGTGGCGGCCAAGAGGAGAGTGGGCCCAGGGAGGCAAAACTTGCCTGAGCAGCAGAGCTGGAGTGAAGGCCTCTTGGTCTGTGACCCTAGTACAGGGCTTCTGCCCCAGCGACCACACAGCTCTGAGCCCCTCCTCACAAGCAGGCACCACATCCTGCCCCTCTCTAGCCCCAGGGCCTATGTCAGGGCCAAGCCAGAGCAGCCTCACTCAAGGGACCTAAGTCTCCACCCCTGGCTCCCAGCCTGTTGCCCAGTCCTGCATGGAGCCACAGTCTCCCTTAGGCTTTGGCACCTCACAGTCTGGAATGTTTTCAACTCAAAGTGGTGGCTAGGAGGGTCGAGGCCTTGAGCCTGGGCCAGCTGCAGGATCTCAAGCTGCTTCTTGCGGTCTTGAGCAAGCTTCTCAAACCTGACAGGAAAAGGTGTGCACATCAGCGCGGCAGTGCTCATTTCCTGCTCCCTACCCCACAAGCTGTAGCCCCAGCCCTGCACTTACCGGGTGGTCTCAGCCACATTGCCCTGGTGCATGAACTGCTTGGAGAACAGCAGACACTTCTGAAAATGGTTCAGAGTGACTCCGTGGTCCAGAACAGGACCCAGCCAAGTTGGCCTTCAAGGCCTGACTTCTGAAAGCGCCAACCTTCTGTAGCCTCACCCCTCTCCTTCTCCAACATAATAACCCAAGGTCACTGTTCCCAAGTCCCACTGCACTAAGTTTTTGCTGTTTCCTCTACTGGGGATAGCCATTCCCCCAGATTCCCTCAGCAAATTCCTTTTCTTCCTCATCACTTTAGCAACCAGACTTGCAGGCAGCCATTCAGATAGACACACCATCAGATAGACATACATACACTCCTCAAACACTTCTTTCTCCCATCTTCAAAGTAATTCCCCCTGCACTCTGTTGTTTGAACTTCATAGCTCTGCAAGAGGGGTATTAATCATCCTATTTTACAGATAAGGAAAATGTGGTTTAGAGAAGAGAAATTCCTTACCCAAGACCTCACAGCCAGTAAGCTGAAGAGCTAGAATCTGAACCCTATCTTGCCTTTCGCCAAGGGGAGGCTATGGGCACTGGAAGGGGAGGCTATGGGCACTGGAAGGGGAGGACTGACCTCATGTTGCTCCAGAAGCATTTTCTGTAGCTGGGCATACACCTCCTCAGCCTTCTGAGAGAGTCGCAGGTCCTCATGGTGGATCAGGATGAAGTCACCCTCTTCATCCGTTAAGGGTGAAGGTACCTGTCCAGGTCACAAGGCCCCTCAGGGGCCCTCAAGAGTCAAATTATTCCTCTACTGAGCCAAACAGACCAGAAATCTAAGCTAAATGTTTCTCCAGCTTCCAGTAACCTCAATGATGGGAACTCACTGCCTGCCATCCTGTCCCAGTGCTATGCTCTATCTGTCACTGGCCTTGCCCGACCTGGTCACCTCTCACCACAGGCAGGCCCCCGGGCTCTCTTGGGGTCATGGGACAGGGAGACACACAAGCAAAAGAGTTCTCAGCTGTCACCACATCCTATTCAAATCCCATCTCCTCTAAGCAACCTTGTTCACAGTCCTGCTCATCAGGACTGCCACCCACCTCTCTGCCCAAGAAGTCATGCTGCTTAACCAGGCAACACTCACCTTGGAGAGGTCCACGGGGCGGCCAGCTCGCACCTGGGTGATCTGAGCCTCGAGGGATTTGGCCACCCGCAGATGGGCTTTGGCCTGCTCCAGGTCCCGGCCACGCTTGGCCTGCAGGGCTGCCCGCTGGTACTGCAGTTTCCGTGCCTCCAGCAGGGTCAGCTGCTCTCGTGCTGGAGTGGGGGACACAGGTGAAGCCATGCCACCTCTCACCACAGCCTCCCCTCCCTCCCTCTTCTCTGCAGCTCACCAGATGGACTCAGCACCTCCTTAGAACTCGAGGCCTTGGGCTCAGGCAGGGGCCGCGATGAAGGGATGACAGGCTGTGCTGGCTTCTTGGCCACTGGGGCCTGGGCTGGGGGCTCATCCTGCAGGCGCCCAGGAGGCTGTCACAGGGGTTCTGTGACACGGCAGTTCCCTGACTCGGACTCTCTTCATAACACTGTACTCACTCACTGTGTGACCTGAGAGGAATGGCTTTCCCTCATGGACCCTAAAGAATCTCAGAACCAGTCTCAAAAGTTCTCTGCGCTAACCTCCCAACGTGAGAGAGTAGGGGGAAGGGGATTGAACTGGGCTCTGAAGTCAGAAAGACCGTGGTCTGAATCCAGCTTTGTTAATTCCTAGCTGGGTGCCCTAGTCCAAGTTTTTTTCTCTATTAAAAAAAAGCAAAAATATCTACCTTGCTGAGCTTGTTAGTATGGACACCAATGGCTGGGTTTACCCCTTATCGGCTATTTCCCCCTACCAGTCCCTGGAGTCTTGGGCCCTCAGCCAAACCTTGTCCTCATCCTCCTCTTCCTCTACTGGGGCTGTATCCTCTGAGGAGGCCAGTTTCTGGGCAGTTGCTAAAGTAGCTGTCATCATATCCTCCTCAGTAGCCACGGTGGGCTCCAGGCCAGGTATAGGGGGGAATCCTGCAGGAGAAAGACACTGGGAGAGGGTTCAGGGAGCCTTGAGGATGCATCAGGCTGCTGTGGGTCCTGTTGGGGTCTTCTTGGGCATGGCTGGGATGGGTTCCCCCAGGGTGGAGGCTGATGTGTGAGAAATCATTTCTCCCTCCCCTCCATCCTGCTTAGAGGCCTCATGAGCCCCCAGGCCAAACCCCACTCACCTGGAGGAACAGGCAACTCGGCAAAGTCAACCTTCCGCCCTGCCTGGTGGGCCCGAATGGCATCTTGATATTGCTGCAAGAGGAGGAAGGGAGGGACCTATGGTGGGCAGCGGTCACAGGCTCCACTTAGGCAGAGGCAGAAAGAGGAAGATGAAGACAGCAGCCCCAGGAGGAAGGAGAGCCCCTGAGACAGCAAGAGCTCCAGAGACACAGACAAGATGAAGACTCAAAGACCAGGGAGCAGACGGACAGCAGCTGATCCAAGAGGGAGGCTGTAGCCCACCTTGGCAATGCGCTCGTGCATCCGGGCCTTGCGCTCATCCCCACTGCCCCGAGCGTGGGTGCCTGCCTCACGGTACTTGTTCAGCCTCTGCTGCAGGGCATCCAGCACTGTCTGTGGCTCAGCAGGGGCCACTTGAAAGGAGAAAGCAGACAGCATCAGCTCTGCCTGCCTCCCCGCAGGTCCCCACTCCATAGTGTCCCCAGTCCTACCCGGGGCTGCTGGGATGTCAGAGGCCATCACTGGGTGCATTCGCTCCACTGCCAGGGGTGTATCTGAGGGCGCTGTGGGGGCCTGGGAAGCCTGTGGAAGGGGCTTCAGGTCTGGGGAATCCAGAGCAGAGGTGTAGGTATGGGTAGGGGTGCTTGGCCAGCCCTGGCCCTAGCCTGAGCAGGCTCCCCCCACCACCCTGATACTGACCCTCCGGTGCTGGGGGCATGGCACTCAGGTCCACAGGCTGCCCCTTCTCCAGGGCCTCCAGGACAGCACCAAATCTCTGCAGTAGGAACAAGGTGGGAACATAAGCCAGGGAACTCCAAGAATCTGGGCTGAAAACCCCCCGCAGACCAGTCTCACTGAAACTTGGCCAGGTCATTGCTCACATCTGTGAAATGAGGGGCTGGACACAGGGCCTCTGAAGTAGATGCCATACCTTCCCAACCCTCATGAGCTCTCGGGCACGGTCTAGGTCTCCAGCCCGCTTGGCATTCAGAGCAGCCACTTTGTACTCTCTCTGTCGGGCCAACAGCAGGGCCCGTGGGTCTGGGTCTGAGTCGGGTGGGGCAGAAATACCAGGGCTGCCCAAGAGGCTTGTCTCAGGCTGGGAGGGGTTGTCTATGGAGAAACAAGAGAAAGTATCAAGGTCAAAGAAGGTTTCCAGTGCCTCCAAGTCTGGCTAGCCTGAAAACATCTTAGGGAAGTTGTGACTGACATGGCCACGGACAACGGCAGGATGGGGAGGCAGGCCCCGGGCCCTGACCTTGGGAACTAGGACGGCATCTGACTATCTCCAGATACCTGGCTCCACAGAGGGGGCAGCTGGAGGTTCTGCTTCAGGGCTCCTATCGGTTGTTTCCTGGGGGGCCAAGGGCCTCCTGCCCAAGGCCACTGGAGGCGGGATCTCATCCTCACTGATCTTCCTGCCTTTCTTCACAGCAGCCAGCTGGGACTCCAGTGTCTGAGAGGGAAAAGAAACCTAGCCAGCCACCACGGACTGCAGCCTGCCCAAAGACAGGCCAGGGGTCCTTCACCTCCACATTCTGGTGGGGAAGCTTCCCCTCTACTGGACCAAGCTCCTCTGGTGCTTCACCCTCTGCCTTCACTGCCCTCAGCCTCACTCCTCCCAGCCCTGGTGCCCAGCCAAGCCCAACGCACCTTCAGGCCGCGCTCACAGCGCCTGGCTTTGGCCGCTTCGCCTGCCTCCTTAGCACTGGCTGCAGCCTCCCGGTAGTTGCGGATCCGATCCTCCAGCAGGGCCTGCAGCCCCTGGGGCCCTCCAGCCTGTGGATACTTCAGTTCAGGGCCTGGCCACTCCAGGGCTACCTAGGCCCCTGCCACTCCCTCCTTGCAAGGAAGCGACCCCAGAACACGAAGCTCCTGGATTCAAGGAGAAGGCGGGTCTAAAAGCCTCAAGGTGGGAAACAAAGACTCAATGGAGAGGCCAGAGGCCATGTCAGAGGCAAACACAGAGGCCCAGACAATCTGTGGAGGCCGGGAAATGGCTGTGGGGGGCGGTATGGGAGAACAGAGAGGCCTTTGAGGCCGGCAGCCACCAAGGAGTTTCTCGTGCTCAGTCTCGGCTTGGGCAGCTGCTGGAGAAGGGCCCTGGAAAGGGTCATTACTGCAGCATTCCTAGACAAGCTGTGCTCCACGAGTGTCCTACACGGGCACGCAGGCACGAAGGACACAGCCAAAGGCACACTGGAGACTCCAGACCTACCTGAGCTGCTGGGACTGGGGCTGTCAAAAGAGCTGCCTGCACCGGAGGTTCAATGTTTTCCTGTTCCTTCTCCTCAGGGCCACCCAGGCTGGCTGTCTCATCACCATCCAGGGCCCCAGCCTCCTCATCTGTACCCAGGACCTCCTGCAGCTCTGTCTGGGGAGACACAGGTCCCAAGAGTTTGGAGCCTCATGATCATACCCACAACAGGACCTGAGAATAAAGGACACTCTCCTCCAGCTGTATTTCCCAGCATCACTCACTGTGCCTGAAAAATCCCCTTTACCAGAACACTCCTACACCCTTCCAATCTGATCAGGGACAGCCCCCAAAACAGCGAAGCCTCCGTATCTGAGAATCCCCAAGTACAGAGCTCAGATGTCAGGAGACGTCTCACACCGTACAGACAGGACAAGGGCCCAGGAAAGGCAAGGCACTCGTTCAACATCAGCACACAGAGGGACAAACCCAGGCCTCCTCCACAGCTTGACCACAGAGCCCCCCACACCAGCCTGGCAGACGCACCAGCAAGTCTGCATCCTCCTCCAGCCCTTCCTCTTCTTCCTCTTCTTCCACATCCCGCATGCAGTCCGCCGCCAACTTCTCAATGTGGGCCATAGGCAGAGGGGCTAGGGGAAGGGGGTCACAGAGGGTCAGAGCCACACAGAAAAGGTTTCCAAGGAGTAGAGGATGGTCTTCAATCCACTGCACTGGCAGATACACCCAGGCAGCTTCCTTCCACAGCCAGAGTCCCACCTCTGCAGGGATACTTTTCCAGGCCCTCCAACAAGCATCAGGCTACTGCCTTCTCAGCCCTTTTACTGTGGCAGTTAAATTCACAGACATTGCCATCCATTCCCCCTAACCACACCTTTCATAAATAAAGATTTTTAACCTATGAGCTTCCCAATGATTCCATAAAATAAGTAATACTGGGAATTCCCTGGCAGTCCAGTGGTTAGAACTCTGTACTTTCACGTCTGAGGACCCAGCCAGGGAACTAAGATCAGATAAGCCACGCAGCACAGGTACCATTTCCCCCACCCCAAAGGTAATATTATCCCCATTTTACATATGAGTAAACTGAGAACTTTTATTAATTTTCCTAACATGGCAATCTTGGTAAACAGCAGAGCCAAGATTCAAACCCAGGCTCATTAAACCCAAAGCAGGTTTGCACTGAGAAAGAAGTGATGGCCATGGTTCTCCCAGACCAGTCAGTCCCTTCAGGGTCCTCTCCTTGTCCTCAGCTCAGGGACATGTGGGATGGGAGATGGTTTTCTCTGAGGGTTCCTGGCTCCCTCTGACCTCACCCAACAGGCTTCAGGTCTCTGTCCTCTTCAGGCTGGGGAGGAAGATACCACTTATGCGTTCATTTGATACAATTTCTGTGCACTCATTGTGTGACCAATTCAGTCTGTGCTGAGTCCCTAGCCTATACCAGGCCCAGAGACTCAGACTGTCCAAAGGGAGAGGGTGCAACCCAGGAAGGAGTGAGCTCCCCCCACACAACACACAGTAAGTGAGCAGAGCAAGATGGCCTCTCGGTGGGAATGCTGCAGATGGGACATGAATACAGAAGGACCAGGTGATCTGGCTGGCTCCCCGCAGCTGGGAGGAAAGGCCCCTCCAACCACCTGCCTGAGCCCACCTGGTCCCCGCACCAAGTGTGGCAAACTCACCCTGCCCCCTGGGCGCTGGTTTCCTGCCTGTGGTCCCTGCTTCCCCGGTGAGAGCCAGCAGCTCAGCCTCCAGGTCCCCATCGTCTTCAGTCTCCTCCACCCCCAGCAGCATGTCCTCAGGGCCGAACTCCACAAAGAGACCGAGCTGAGAGCAGAGAAGGTTTCTTGAGAACTATACAATGAGGAGAGGGGGAGCCCAGACCCAGAGTCAATCCCCAGGAGCTACGCAGCTCCCTGTAGGGCCCAATGTGCAGAAAGGAAACTAAGGAACCGTTACTCCTTGGGACACTTATCTCCCTGGTGACTCTACAAAGAACTGCATAAGATCACACTGTCATTACTGTTACTAACAATAACAGCACCAGCTGCCAGGCAGGGTCCCTGGCAGCCTGTGACTATCTTAGTTTTCAAAATCCTAAGGTAGATCCTATTTCCTTTTAAATTGTGGTAAAACACACGTAACATGAAAATTACCATCTTAACCATTTTAAAGTGTAGTGTTCAGTGGCATTAAATACATTCACACTGTTGCATAACTGTTATCACCATCTTGCAAAACTGAAACTCTACACCTATTAAACAACTCCCCATTTCCCCTCCGCCCACCCCGAGGGTAACCACTGCTCTACTCTCTGTCTTTATGAGTTTGACTACACTACCGTGGGTCCTATTTTTATCTCCATGTTCAGATGAAACTGAGACAGCCCTGAGAGTGTGGCAGGGCTAGAATTTAAAATAAGGTCTTAAGGGACTTCCCTGGCAGTTCATTGATTAAGACTCCATGCTTCTACTTCAAGGGGAGTAGGTGTGATCTCTGGTCAGGAAACTATAATAAGATCTCACATGCCACAAGTTGCAGCCAAAAAATTTTTAAAATAAATAAAATAAATGAGGTCTTGTGAGTCGAGTCTATGCCCTTTATCCTACCACCTCCCTTACCTGCCTCTTTTAAGACAGTAACAATACGCTAAGAAGTCTCAAATTTGGGCTCAAAAGAAATAAAGGGAGAAAGTGAGCATGCAGATCCAATCAGAACACCCTGAATTTTGGTGGTTCCTGAACTCTCTGGATCGTTCACATGGAGGTGGCCATTGCAGGAGGAAGCCTGGGTTGAAACACAAGAAAGTTCAGGCCTTAGCTTCCACATGTGTGTGCCAGGGGCTGGTTCATAGGGTCTCCATGGGTTCTGCCAGCTCCAGGAGGCATGGCTCAAAGTCGCTAGACTTAACAAGGAAACCACGCAGGTGACCCAGTTTGCCCAAGTTGTCAGAGACCCTCACCCTCAGACTGACTCAGAAGTGAAGGTGAAGGAGGTTACATCCATACCTGCTTGGCAGCTGCCACACCCTGGCCACTGGCCGGAGGGCCCTTCCGAGGTCTTGGCCCTGGCATCTTGACAGCCTGGATACCTGTCTAGTGGGGAGTGGAAGAAACTCAGACGGGAGCAGCTTACAAGCCCCGCCCCCAACAGGTGTGGTTAGTAAACTCCCAACTCAGAGAAAGAAGGCAATGCTTAATATGCTTAACATCCAAGGCTGAAATACCTAAGCTGGAAGTAGAGCACTGAAGCAAGCAACACAGAAGATGGAAGGGAGGGGACCACCTATTAATATCGCTAAGAGGGGAGAGTGGACACAATAAAAAGCCACTGAACTGATTTAATCTGGATTAAACCTAAGAGGTTGAGTGGTGAGTGGCCTAAGAAGGCAGATCAGGGAAGTTAACTCCAGGTTCAGGGAGGGTGTAAGGCTTGGCAGGATTCAGAAAGGCTCTAAAACAGTGCTGGTAAGCATGGCTGCGCTATGTGGCTACTGACGTTTAAATTTAATCCAGTTAAAGCTTCGGTCCTTCAGTTAGTGGCTACCATGGGCCAGCACAAATAATGAACATTTTCATCACTGCAGCAAGTTCTATTGGACAGTTCTGCTCTAGAGAAATCTGACTCGGTATTCTGATTCTCTCGGAGATCTCACAACCATTTACTGGACCTACTATGTATCAGACTTTGTGCTAGGCACCCGAGGGCAGGAGTGGATGTGACGTGCCCTCAGCTCTCAAAGAACAGTCACAAGGTGGGGAGCCCCTCACCACTGGACAAAACCCAAACAGGGATGTGCCAGGCGCCACGGCTGCCCAGGGCCGGCCCTTATCCAGCAGAGAGAGAAAAGGCTTCTTGGAGAAGGTGATGCCTGTGCTGAGTCACGAACGTGTTGAGGGGGAGGAAAGGGAATAGGATTCCAAATATAGGGAACAACCTGATAATGGTTCTGAGGTGACAACAGGTTGACTTGCACAGGGCAACTAAGCTGGGATTAGTGCGGCATACAGTGTGAGACAAGGGAAACTTAAAATGTTAGCAAGGGGCAAATGAGGAAAACTCTGAAGCCTAAAGTAGTTTGGGCACGGTTCTGAAGGCAAAGGACATGAGGGGATGAGGTCGGCGATTCAGAAACATGCCCCCTGGCTGCAGAAAGGAAGGACGGACGGAAGGAGGGAGGACGCAGGCTGGACACCGAACATCGTGAATCGGTCCCGGCGAAAAGGGGAAAGGCTGAGGGACCGTGAGGGCGGTGTTGGGGAGGGAGAGAAGTGGACCTAATCCAGAATTAGGGGGTACAACCAGCAGGACTCCGAGATTAACTGACTGTGCGCGCACGGGAAGAGGCGCTCAGAGTGACTCCAAGGCGTCAGATTTCAGTGACTTGGGTGTACGGCGGGTGGTCAACTGAACGGGGGACACGAAGTGAGTGGGTCGGCGAGACCCGCCAAGTCTGCGGCTCCGGGGACACCCGGCTGGGAGCAGCGGTGCTGGACCCAGACACAGGCTCTGGAGAGAGGAGGACAGGGAGTGCGCAGGCGAGGCGAAGCCGGCGACCCCACTCCCGCGGCAGGACGCGCCGCCCTGCCCAGCCCTGCCCGGCCGCCTCCATCTCCCCCGCCGTCCCCTCCTCTTCCCTCGCCAGAGAGCGGATTCGCGGCATACCTCGCGGCAGATCCGAAACCGACCCGGGCCTTCTCCCGCCCGGTACCGCCCAGGCCTCCCGCGGCCCCCGGGCCGCGGAGGCAGCCGTGACAGGAAGCGCCCCCGCGGGAGACGCCTCGCGCTCTGACACGTGACTCCACGGCCGGTGCGGCGCGGATCACGCATGCGCAACGCGAAGCGGGCGTGGCGCTCCAACAGGTGACTCCAAGGGTGGAGTTCTCAGCGCGCAGGCGCCTTCGGGCAGGTAACGCGAAGTTATCTGGGCGGGCTTTTGGGCCGTTCCAGGATGTTCCGCATCTGGAGCAAATGCAGCAGCCTCGCCGTCTGTACTAGCCCATTTACAGGTTTCCCGCCAACCTTCCTCCCTCACTCCCCTTCCCGAGGTTGCCTGGGTGCACGCTCACCTATCTAGCTTCAGGTCCTCGCCCCGCCCCTGTCGGCGCGGAGGGGAGGATGGTGCGGCCACCGCCCTATAGGAATGATTTCTCTGCCTTACCGTCTCTTTCAGTGTCTTTTATAATTTGAGTCTCTAGGGAAAGGGTCTCACAGATTCCTCTTAATCTTGCAGCATCTAAAGTTACCTTTTCTAATCAGAAGGCGGGTTTAATCCTTAAGATATGAGACGCAGTACTCATTGCACCTCTTTATAAAGTCACTTCAGCTTAACACCAAGTTCTTCCTCTCCTACCCTGCAAGTGTAAGGGGGTAGTGTAAGGGGGGACTGGGGGAGAGAAGCTACCTCCTGGAATCTTGCGAATCGTTTCCTCCTGCCTGTCTCCTAAACTTCTGAATTATCTTCCAGTTTCCTTGGACAAAAAGCTTTTCCACCTCCTTTTTGGTGATTTCTCCGAGAAAGAGACTGTCTTTACTATTTTATATTTTTTAAAACTCAGCTTAAAAAAAAAAAAAAAAACCTCAGCTTTTCTTCTTGGCATACCGTTTGGCATGCAGGATCTTAGTTCCTTGATCAGGGATCCATCCAGTACCGCTGCAGTGGAAGGGAGTCTTAAGCACTGAACCATCAGGGAATTCCCCATCTTTATTGTTTTAAAATGGGAATTTCAGGGAATTCCTAGCGGTTCAGAGGTTAAGACTCCCGGCTCTCACTGCAGAGGGCCCAGGTTTGGTGCGGCAACCAAGATCCCACAAGCCACACGGGGTAGCCAAGAAAAAAAGTGTTAGAAGTAAATAAAGTGGAAATTTCACTCCTGTATTTCTTTTCATTAAATTTGAATGATAAATATTTGACATTCAAAAATGTACAATATTTAACATTCGCTAGAATGCAAGCTACTTAAAGGCAGTTTTTGTGCTTTAAGTTATCTAGAGCAGTGCATGGTACATAGTAGGCACTCAACGGTTTCTATTTCTTTTGTGAGTTAAATACATGGGCACTTACCTCAAGTTTGAGAAATATAGTTGAAGCCACCTGTCCACCTCTCATGTTGTAACCCTTTCCCAAAGAGATATCCACTCTCCTGATTTTGGTGTTTATTATTCCTGAGCATTACTATTGCTAGTAGACATATTGTACTATGTATGTGCACATCCTTAAACAGCAGGTAGAATTTTTTTGCTAGCTTTAACATTGTATCATTATCACTGCCTGCACATATTTTTAACTCCTTTTTATACTCAACCTTGGTTTTAAGCTTCATCCATTGATCTTACTTTTCATTTCTGTATGGTGTCTCATAGTATGAAAATAATTCACTTTTCCAATGGCTTGCCATTACAGTGCTATGGATGTTCTTATACATTCCTTGTGTATATGTATGTTTCTCTAGGGTGTATTTCTAGCAGTGGAATTGCTGGCTAATAGGATTTTATAGACTAAAAATTACCAAATCATCTCCAATGCAGTTGTCTTAGTTTACACTTAGATCAATGAGGCATTTGGGTTCTAATTGTTCTATATTACCATGGAAAGATTTTTAAGTAGATATGAAAGTGTTTTGACTTGCAGGTGTCTTTTACTATGTTTCTAATTTGTTGGCCATTCATGTTTCTTACTCTGTGGATGCCTTATTTACCCATTTCCCTTTTTCTTATTGTAACATACTTTATTCTGATACCCTTAGTCCATTGCATGCGGTTTTAAATATCTGCATGTGTATTAGTTGCAGATGTTATATTTCACTCAGTGCCTTATCATGATTCTCCTAAGAACACGGACATTCTTCTACACAACCACAATGATCTGTCACACTCATAAAACCTGACATTTACATAATCCTATTACCTAGTATGAAGTATAGTATAGTCCATAATAATGCTTATAACTGTATTAATGTCTTAAATCCATGACCCAATCAAAGTCCTCACATCTGTTTAGCTCTTTACTTTTTATTAGGTAAATTTTTATTTACCTGATACTTTTTTTTATTGGTAGGTTCACAGCAAACATTTCTGGCAGGACTATGACATGGATGATGTGTTTTCCTCAGTACCTGACATCAGCTTTTTAGATGTCAGTTTGTTCAGTTGTTGGTTTATCAGAATTAACTTGCAAAGTTACACAAAAAACCCTACCAAGATTTTAATCGGAATTTATTTATATTTAGAGATTAATTATATCTCTTTATTATTAATAGATTTATTCCTAGGTTCCTTAAATTTTTGTGCCATCTAAGTAATTTTTAAAGATTTTTTTATGATAGATGGTACCTTTTAAAAAATTCCACTTTTTACTTATTTGTTGCTAGGGATTATTTATTACTGATATTATTTCCAACAGTTCTTTTTTATACACTAAGTATGTTACACCCACATTGTTCAAAAGTTAAAAGAAACAGAATGACATACAGTGAAAGACTTCTTCTAGCCCTGAAGGTAGCCATCTCAGAGGCAACCAATATAACTAATTCTTTACTTTCTTGGAACTATTTTTTTTTATAAACAGTATTTATTTATTTGGCTGTGATGGATCTTAGATGTAGGATCTAGTTTCTCGACCAGGGATCAAATCCAGGCCCACGGAGTCCTAGCCACTGGACCACCATGGAAGTCCCCTGGAACTATTTTATATAGATACAGTAATTATATTTATATACATGGTATGTTACCATTAAATAAATGGCAGGGCTACTAACAGAAATAAAAGCCAGAGAGAGGGACTACTGTAGGAAGAACGGTGTGTGGTTTTACAATTTGATATTTATAATGACTGTAAAACTTCCCAAACACCCCGGAAAAAGTAAATGATTTAATGGAAAACCCCAAAATACATGACAGCCATTTCCATACTTTGCTACAATGATTCCATGTGCTTAGAAAAAGGAAATAGGGCTCCTTCAAAACAGATCACAGTCCTTCCTTGTGAAGCCCTTCACTCCTCTTTCAGAGCATACAGCACATCATCCTGGCTGACGTTGAGCCGCACCCGAAGGAGCACGTCATTCCTGCTAGGCTCCACGAGGAGGAGACGGCAGGCACCCAGGCGAGAGCACACCGCCATCGTCTCCGACATGGTGGGGTACGGGAGGCCCTCCATCCTGCACAGTGCCACGTGTTGAATGTATACCTGAAACAAAAAGCAAACCTGAGGTCAGCTAGTCAGAAAGGTAGTCCTGGGTCTGTATCCAATCATTATTTCTTCTTTTGGGAAACTGAGACACTTCTTCTCCAGGATACTCAGGACCTCAGAAGGGAACCAAGGGGTGTCCCACTGGGATGAAAAACAGGGACAGAACGTAGTATTGGCCTCAGGATCAGAAAATAGCAGGTCTGAACCCTGGTTCTACCAATTACCTAAATAAGCAAACTGGGCCAGTTATTTCACTTTTTAAGCTTCAGTTTTATCTATTAAATATATGATATTCCTCATGAGTTAATAGATATGAAACGCCTAGTAACTGTCACAGCTGTACAAACAGTACTCATCTCCAGGGGCTGATGGGTCCAATTGAGATTGTCATAATTCAAGTCAAATTTTGCTATATGGGCATATTTCCTTGGCAGAAACAGTGAGCAGGTGCCAAGGTATGACCCTTGGAAAAGTCAAAAGTCCAGAGGGAATACAAGACACTCTGTGCAGAAGAGCTATCTCAGGCTTTAGAAAACCAGTAACAGGCAAAACATGATTAGCAACTAAATATTTAAAAATTGAACTTAGGTCTTCCCTGGTGGTCCAGGGAAGAGTCCACCTGCCAATGCAGGGGACATGGGTTTGATCCCTGGTTCAGAAAGATTCCCCATGCCTCAGGGCAGCTAAGCCCATGCAACACAACTACTGAGCCTGCAAACCTACAGCCTGTGCTCTGCAACAGAAGAAGCTACCACAATGAGGAGCCCGAGTACCGCAACAAAGAATAGCCCCTGCTGGCCACAAGAGAAAACCCAAGAGGAGCAACAAAGACCCAGAGCAGCCAAACATAAATAAATGAAGAAAAGCTGGAAGGAAATGTTTTCCTGACTTCTCTATTTATTTAAAACATACTCATACACACAGACATACAGACTGCTGGGTATTTACTCAAACATCTTTGATAATTCATATTCAAAGGCAGCCCAGTACCTATGCACACCAGTTTCAAACAAACCTCACCTCCGCCAGTGCCTAGCAACCAACTTAGAACTGGTGCAGACCAGGGGGATCGGACTGTTTAATTAAAACAGAGCATAGCGAAGGCCTGAGGCAGGTGTTGATGCGATGTGATTTCTACCCAGTGCTTTGAATGTCAAATTCAACGAAGCACAGGTAAATGGCAGGAGTAACTATGACTCTCTTCAGATAGCCAAAATGCCTTGTCATCTAATTAGTGACTCACATGAATGGATCAAAGAGATTCCCACTGTCTCTACCTACTATCCATCGAAACCACAGCCAAGGAAATGGGCTTGGCAGAATCAGTGGGGAAAGAAGACCCTATTGAACTTGACTCTAGTGTGGCAAGGTGAAGAGACATGAGAGGTGTAGAATAAGTGGGAGGCCCCCAGCTCACTAAGGCATGAGCCCTAATGATTCCTTTACTTGATATAATTGAAGTTATGCTCAGAGCGTTTGGGCTGGTCTTTGTGATTTGTTTTTGAACAAGGGTCATTCTGAGAGCCCTGCCTCCCACTATACCATAAGCTGTATCGGGGCAGTAACTTTTGTTCATCTGTGAATCTCCCACTCGCATAAAAGTATCTGGCACATAGTAAAGCTTCAGTCTCATATACAG